AACATATTCGTTCAGAATATACCTATTTAAGTTGGCTAGCAAGGTGCTACATAATGACTAAACAAGCTCGTTTAGCATGGGAGCTATACCTGAAAATGGAAACTTCAGCCGAATCCTTCAGTCTGCTGCAGTTAATAGCTAACGACTGTTACAAAATGGCACAATTTTATTACGCCGCTAAGGCATTCGATGTACTAGAGAGATTGGACCAAAACCCAGAATACTGGGAGGGTAAACGTGGAGCATGTGTCGGTGCCTTCCAGCTCATAATAGATGGACAAGAACCCAAGGAAAGACTTCGAGAGATAATCCAAATCTTGCGTAATACAAATAACCCTCAGACAGAATATCTTATACGTGTTATGAAGAAATGGGCAAAAGAAAACAAGATTGTTGTATAATGATGACCATAAACTGTTGTATGATTTATGCGTGTATAATAATTAAACAAATTCGTGAATTCTTCATAAATGTTTGTTATTCTTAACGATATCTGAGACGATAGTTAATTAGGAGTATAAAGGAAAGAAATCATCTATCAAACGCTGAAAAACCCTTCAAAACTAGATAGACTTTTCTCAAAAAAAACTATTTATATCGATGTAATTTGACTAATTTTTTATTTACTATAAATATATAGCGAACTATCCTATCAAACGATTAAACACCATATTGTAAGAAGGAAATGATATAAGAACTTAGCCTGCATATTCAAATATCTAGAAGCAAGTGTCGCTTTTCTTTGCTCGTACGTTTCGTTAATGCCCCCAAATGCCCTGGTACGGCCGAGAGTGGGGAGAGTTCGCTCTCCCTCTCCAAATGCTCTCACATGGCCACGCCTATATAGCCTCTGCCAGGGAAGTCCTACTCACTGCATTCTCGTGGCGGGGTGTTGTTTACGAAAGTGAGAGGACGAAAAGAGAATGTCCGGCGCTTTAACCGGGTTAGCGGATACGAAGGGTCCACATAGGAAAGTTGGAAAACCCTGATTCCAAACAAATGGTGCACATGGGCTCCAGTACCTTGAAGGAACAAATGACGTATGAACCAATTATTGGTCACCGGCTACCATGGGACTGCATCTCCTTACGATGCTACACTGCCTTGTGGATCAAACCTTCAGGTCGAAGGCTCCGTGTGTGGCCCCCTAAGAAAACCACATGCCACGGTTTGGGTACCCAGGCAGTATCACAGCCCTCACACGTATCAAATGAGATCTGTGTGTCGCATATATAATGTGGTGCCTCCTTGTGCCAATATCTGTGTTAAAATAAAAAAACGTTTCGTTACTAAGTCACAATATAAAATATCGTGAAACGAAAAATTTAAGGATATTTCCTTGTCCCAGTCATGATTAGCAAACTAAACTCGAGACATAAGTGAAAGCTTTTTCTTAGGATTGTCACAGGAAATACGGTCGTTAAAGAGTGAAAATTAACAGTTCAGTTTTAGAAGTCGTGACTTGTTCCTTACGTAAGACGGACACAAAGTAATTTCAGGTTGAGCGAAATAATTAGAATATGTATAAGAACAATGAGTAAGGATTGACAGATTATTAAACAAACAGGAAACGTAGTCCATATATTTAGGAGTCATGATACTATGAGACGAATTGTTGATGTGATCGAAAATGAAGCCGATTGAGACAACTTCCCATATACAATCGATTTCAATATTTAAAAAAATAAATTGTACACCACAGAAGGCAAAATAAAGAACAACATGAATGGAAGAACAATGTACTTTGTAAGAGACAATTCAAGAAAGATGTGCATATAGTGTATTTGATGTGTTGTTTTCATATTTTAAACAGACACTGGGCAATTTTTCATAATATAACTGATTTCCTCTGCCCAAGCCTTCATTGAATACAATATGAAAAAATTTGAGTTTGAAGAAGAGTATTACAACAGCTAACCTACATCACATTCAGTGTACTACTTACATCTTATTATAAATAGATCAAGCAAAGTACAATATCACACGACAGAGCATTACGTAGAACTGTCAAGTCTTTTAATTCTGACATAATTGTAGAAAATCAACATAGATAGGAAGGGGTTATGAATGTTTGAAACAAAAAAAAACGACGAGTTAACAGTAGGTAATATAGTTAAAGTTGGGGGAAGACAATAATTACAAGTGACACAAAGTAACGAGCAACGGCATAAATGTAAGAGATTAATGTAACACAAGTTTATTACATACATATATATACTGAAAAAATAAGGTAGGACTTCGGTTTATTTTTCAAAATGTAGTTTAATTAACTCATCAATTCTGTGGAGATCCTTCAAGGAATACTGTGCACTACCACGAGGAAGAGGTTTACTCTATAAAAAAAAGAAACAGGAATGATGTAACTATTAGTTCAATAAATTATCTGTTTCGTCTATTTTAAAAGGGCATTTTAATACTTTACTAATGATTTAAAAATTTAAAAAGAGATTAAAGGTGATGAGATTAAAAAATGGGTTTAAAAAATGGTCACCGAATTTCGTTTCAAGCACAGTGAGATGTAGACTTTCTAATTAAAGGTTTTTGTGATCATAAAAACTATCGGTAATCTCAAAAATTGATTAAAGTTGCCCAAATCACGTCAGTGTATTTTTACACCTAAATATGAAGCATCATATCACTGTTTATTCATTTTTATTTATCTGACAGTAACATATTGTGCATATAAATTTTCGCCAAATAAAAAATACTGCTTTAGGACTAGTTTGAGTTAATCAGTCATAATTAAGACAGGGAGCCTAGTACAAATGTTCGTCAGCCAAAGTTGTCATACTACCACGTAAGCAGGATGAAATAAAATTAACAAGATGAATAGAGAAGAAGTCGAAACAATCAACTCACTGAAGTGAATCAGTAGCTTATTCATTAAGCTTTTAATCAATATGATACAAGTCCAAACTCCGGTTCACTTATTTTAGTACGGAGCAATTGGATTGTGTTATAAACTCGTGGACAAAAAGTATGACTGAAAGACAATTATAAGAATCGGTACTTGATTGCTGAGTTGGATTGAATTAAATTTCATTTAACAATTTGTTGTTATCATTAAGTTAAGAAACATAACAAAGAGTATTTATGAGGGGTATTCATTTTATAAATGGGTAAGGTCATATATTACACTAAAGTCACAAATATGCAAACAGGGAGGATATTGCCATTTCGCTGAATAATTAATCATATGTTCACAATTAGTAGGGACTTGGAGTACCTTAAAATACAGTTCGACTCACAGTCATAAAGATGTATTACTTGGTATTCGACTAGGACTCAGAAGTTTAAAATACTTCAGTCAACACATAACGAACAATGATCACTTACTTGAGAAGGATCAGGTTTCCATCCAATAAAATATAACAGCCGATATGTTGCCGGAATACAGCGTTCATTCTCTTCATCTTCACGAGGAACACTGAATTTCTCTATAAAAAGTGATACAATTTGAATTTATCAACTAGCAACATACAAGATTTGAAAAACAATAGAGGTATATATATATTTTTGTTGCATATCTATGAAGTAACTAGACTATATATCTTTATATTCCTTTCATTACAAATTTTTATTTGACCTACTGACTATTATTATACGATTTACTATTCTTAAGATATTCCCAAGTTGCCAGTTACAGAATCCCACACTCACAGCCACTATTGGCCTAATCTCGTATAATGGTTGTTTTCCATTTTATGGTGTGAAGCGATCTATTTTTCTTGTATATGAACTGCGTATGTGTGAAATACAAAATTCATACAGCGGAAGCTGAGATTGTGTTCCGGATTCAATCGTTAGGGCTAGACGAGAAAGACTCAGAGTTGACTCTAGGCTGCTCGTGATGGTTAACGTGCCGTTGGTTTGATACAGGGCCAAGTTCTATAAGTCGGTGTTCTGATTGGCGATCTTGTCACATGATAATAAATAGGGCAAATATATATATATATATATATATATAACAATTTCCTAAAATTTCTAACCATTAGGTTATAAGTGCGTCGTACACTCAATTGGTGAAACTTTTACCTCACTACCAACTACACGACTGACACCAAGGGACAACAATTTCAGAAACTATGGCTACTGTTTTCGTTTGTGATATAGCTAAGAAAAAGTACAGGCAATAGTTTTAATAATGGTTATCAAGCACAACGAAATAATACAACTACTCATTCTTTTCTACATTTAGCTTTAAGTAATCCAAAAACACAAGTTCAATCTTGACTAATTAAAAGAATAATTAAGATCTACCAAAAAAATCTATTATGAAGAAAATTTTTCGAATAGTATAAATAGGTTTGCAGTGTTCTAGAAAGCACAAAGACAATATAGCATGTATATTAAAACATCGGTGACTTAATAAAGAAAGTATATTTTTAACAAATGATAAGAAAGAAAGCACTAAACATGAGAATATATGATGGGAAGGAAAAAAACACATGTCCGCATAGGATGAACATATGCCAACAAGAAACTCATCAAGTGCAGTCCTAAATAACAATGTGAAGATACAAGTAAAACAACACCAAGTGAGCAAAAAAGACGTTAGGTATTCGAAGGATTTGAAATTGAACTTCTAGCATAACTATACATTGATGATTGCATCTATTAGTTCATGATAACATGATATCAAGTACAATTGTACAAAATCTTGCAAAATAGTGGGGGATTCGAATTCGTGAACAATTCTTATTCCATATAACATTGGTTAAATAACCTATGAAATTCTTAAGAAACGTGTGCAATGCATGAAGTCACCCACAATCGTAGCTGTAAATTCAATATCCGATCAGAGTATAACGGTAAATAGTTTCGTGACTACTATCTACAGAGCAATATTCAATTGGTTTTAGTTGATATATAGACTAACTGAACAGGCACTTCGATATTACCTACGTTTACAAATTGATTATCAGTCAGCTACAACGTAGGACCAGGCACATATGTGCATCGGTCCAGGTTGCCATACCGCATCAGCACAACAAGATGAACACCGTATTTACAGCAGTGGTTAGGTCAAAGGTGGTAATATATAAGAGAAAGATTGCATATAGAGATATAGTACAAGAAGAAAGAATTGGTTCGTAGAAAGAAAGATATGAAGTGATTTTAATCTCTTAGTTTAAGGGAAGACAGGGAGTGTATACACCGACGCCATTATGATCGATTCTGAGCCATGTCACCAAGAGTCTCCAACCATTGGTTACGAAAGTCACGCGGACCCCAACCAAGTAGTCTGCATCTACCAACATGGCTCAGACTAGAAGTTAGTGTCTTCAAGCACTGATGCCACGTTTTGGTTTGGCCGCCCCTAACTTTCTTCCAACCATCCCCTACCCCGGTTAGCATTGCACGACGTGGTAATCGGTGTTCAGGCATACGTAACACGTGGCCCAACCATCTCAGTCGATGAAGATTCATAACCTCATCAACTAATTTACCGTCATTCCCTAATACCCTGCGTCTAACCTCACTATTACTTACCCGGTGATCCCAGCAGATGCCAGCAATATTTCTGAGGCATCTGTGGTCAAATACTAATAGCTTACGAGTGTCTTCTACTCTTAATGGCCATGTTTCGCTGCCGTAAATTAAAACAGAACGGACTGCCGTGCAGTATACTCGTCCTTTTATTGATAGACAGATATCTCGCCTTCGCCATAGGTGACGCAAGTTGGCAAAAGCCAATCGAGCTTTTCGAATCCGTGCTGAGATTTCGTCCGATACCAACGCATTAGGGCTGATCAGACTTCCAAGATAAGTGAAGTTGTCAACGCGTTCGACTACTTCACTCCCTATCCTTAGTTCAGGTGTTAACGCAGACCAGTCCTGAAGCAACAACTTGCATTTAGAGGGAGAGAAGCGCATTCCAAACATCCTGGCATTGTTGCTCAGTGCTACCAGAAGACTCTGCATTTTGTCAGCGTCTTCACCAAACAGGACTATGTCATCTGCGTATTCTAAGTCGATAAGTGGACCTCCTGGTAGGAGATCAATACCCGAGAACTCAGTCGACGAGAGTTATTTCCATCAGTAGATCTATGATGAAGTTAAACAAAAATGGAGAGAGTGGACAGCCTTGACGGACACCACTTGAGGTTGCAAAAGTAGATGACAGTTCGCCATAAGCTCTGACTTGACTAGTAGTGTTCGAGTAAAGAGCCTTTACAAGGTTTATGTACTTCTGGGGTACGCCTTTCAATGACAGACACTGCCACAGAATCTCGCGGTCTACCGAGTCAAATGCTGCTTTTAAGTCAAGAAAGACCACCATTGTCGGACGCCGATAAGTATGCCTGTGTTCTAGAATCTGACGAATGGTGAATATGTGGTCGATGCAGCCACGACCAGGTCTAAAGCCAGCTTGGTTCTCTCGTGTTTGCAGTTCACGAGTCTTAGTTAGGCGTCTGATAATTATCGAGGCTAGTATTTTAGATATTATATTAGTTAAACTAATCCCTCTGTGGTTGTCACAGGATGATTTTGACCCTTTTTTATATATTGGGACGATAAGTGATTGTGACCAGTTAGATGGAATAACGTCTAACTCCCAGATTTTAGCTAAAATATTAGTCAACCTAATCGTTAAAATTGGACCACCATCCTTAAAGACCTCTGGAGCCAATCCATCTGGACCAGCTGCCCTTCCTCGTTTCAGATTAACTATAGCCTTTTGAACTTCAGCAAGAGTTGGGGATTATACCTTAAATAATGGCACAGACATTTCAGTTGTCGATTCCCCTATAAGATGAAATTCACATCTCGAATTACTCTGTTAAATATTACAGAAAATCAAATTAAGAAGCAAGTGTATAACAACGCCTGTATAAGGAACATCTTTAAACTCACAAGAAGACTATATTTGAATTACACAGCTACCAATTTCAACAAAGGATTACTTTATATCTTGTCAAAATATGTCCATCTGAATATTGTATTTCATTTGAACACTGAGACAATTAAACCAAAAAATATGATAGTACAATAACCATTATTTACCATTGTAAATTGCAGAGGCTGCAAATAGAACATCACGATTCAAACGTAATGGTCTATGAACAGTAGCATTAGATTCACCCATAAATCGTAGATCATTCATTAACGCAAATATATCTGGATAGTGAATTACAATTTCATCAACATCCTAAGAAAGTTGAAATGAAAATTTTTATTGATAAAAAGTGACAAAAGACAAATGACTGAGTAATTAAATGTTGGAGATTTACATTTCTATTGTATGTTACGTTTAGTTGTGCAAATAATTGTGTAATATGAAAGATAAAGAAAAGCACCTGAACTAGGACGTGAACGCTGTCCAGATTTAGAAATTTAACGATAAAAAACATTCAATGAAAATGACATTGCACTGATAGGTCTTCTAAGTGAACGCTCGAATCACTCCCTTAAGCTCTTATTTTAACCCCAAGCTGAATCTACTCAGCAACTTGAACATGAGAGAAATGGCTGGTTTACGTACAGCAAATCGAGAGTATTTATAGTATTTCTGGTGCAATTTGGATTTCTGGAATAACCTGGAATCAAGCTAAATATAGTAGCAGGATAGATAATTATCTAATCAGAAATGTGGTAACGTGAATCTTCATTTTCTAGATGTTTCTGAAAAACTTATATTCAACACTGATTAGATAAAATATTTCCCAGCGTTTTCATGACAATTTGGATCAAAGAAGATTCATAACATTAAATGATGAGTGACTGGATTTTGATATGACGAGATAAAAAGACTATACTATTTGGGCTAATATTTATTGTATCAACTCAGTATACACTTCATTTAATATGACAAGTATGAACTTTCATTCAGTGTGATAATTATATTCCCTGTATCAATTCAAGTGTGTGTACTTTCCCTTACATGTGATATTATTGTAGGTAAAGATTAGCATAAAAATGTATTTTGGTCTACTAAGGACGTGAGTTTTGGATTTGGGGACGTATTTTTGGAGAGCCAATAACCCTACATTGCATTAATGTTTCATGTCCATACTTTACATCGAAGAAATTATAGTGATTCCCGTTTCAAATTATAAGCAGTAGGACTACGATATTACAGATTTCTTCACATTAAGTGATCAGTTCACAAAAAAATATGAATAAAAGAATAACAGAGCTACGTAATCCGACGGGTTGATAACTTAAATGTACAAGGAAATTATTCGAATGATTAGATGTTTCTTTTATTTGGAGAGGGAAAGCCAACTACTCACTAAGATTCATCAGAATAAAGATAACATTACAATAATATTAGGGGATATTAATAATGAAAGTTGTGATAAAAAACACATGATGTAAGAAAAGCATAAAATCTGACAACTAATTACAATTATAAAATAGTTAAATGTTTTCTTTAACTTGGTTATCCGACAGACAGTTTACTGTTGAGTCTGTTATTGAACAGTGTAAATCTTACTAAGCAAAGGTGGATAGTGGCTAGCAGTGGAATCCAGGACGCGCGTTTCGTCCTATTTGGGACTCGTCAGCTGGATGTACCTGCATCGCAGAGTTGGTGTTCACTCCGGGACTCGAAGCAAGTGCTGTTCGCTTCAAACGCCATCGCGTTATCCACTTAGCTATTGAGTCCTGATAGCCACCTGCTTGTGCAATGGGGTGAAGTTTAAATTCACTTGGTGTTGTTTTACTTGTATCTTTCCATTGTTAAGCTTGTGAATTAAGGCTAAATCGAGGCAATCCGTACAGGATGAATATATGCCAACACGATGGGAAAATACAAGTAAAACAAGACCGAGTGTAAATCTTAATTAAGAATACCTAGTGATGATCAGATAAAATCTACTTTAAACATACTAGCATGGGATACTTCAGCAGTATGCATCTATGACCTCACCGGGGATTAAAACCTGAACCTTCAGGTTTTATGATGAGTGGTTAAACTCCATGTCCCTGAGTTGGCGTTCAACCAACCCCCCCCCCGATGTGGTCGTGGAATCACACTACTGAGGAGCCCCATAGTAGGAAAAAACATATGTCTGGTGCGTTCTAGTTTTTACTGATGTCTAATTAAGGTCAATCTTAGATACAAGCTGTGAAAAACTGACAGAAATTACAATGACAAAGAGCTCGTATCAAGATTGCAAACCACTGACTTTGTGGTTAAATCGGTCAATTTTTAATCAATAATTCGCAGTTTCGAAACTCGCTTCACCTAATTCATCTTAAGCAGTCAGGTAATGTAACTAGCTCTCAAACAAACAGTACAAATTAAAGCAAAATACATGCGTTTGCGATTACATCATTGTCAGCAAATTTTTGATTTATCCCGCTGTTAACATTCAAGACTGAATTTCGAACAGTCTTTGTTGGTAAATGTACATTCTGTGCAGATTATCAATCTGGACACAATAGCTCAGTGGATAACACGTTAGGGTTTGAAGAGAAAGGTAACAAGTTCAAATTTTACTGTGGACACCGACGCTATGATCCAAGTACATCCGGATGACGAGTCTCAAATTAAGTGAAACAAAGATTCTAGACTTTAACGTCAGACAAAATTTGCATATCTACTCCATAAAACAAAAAACTGTACTTGATAAGTCAATTGATGGTTATACCGTCCCCCAAAAAACTCTTATTTTCTATTACTTCCAATGTTGTTTAAAATATGATGAGAAAAAGTATCTCCAAACCAGTCAAAAATGTTAGAATGTGACTTCAGAATAAATATAATCAATAGAAAAAAAGAACACCGTTCAAACAGACATTATCAACATAATATACTTACCAATGTGATTAAATTGAATCCAGCACATTGTAACAAATTAGCCATATCCACACTATCCACGAATGGACTGATATGCGATGAGATTCCGCCTAATCTTTCTAATTCAGCTAATTGCAATGATACACGCAATTCATACAATGTATCCATAGCTGGCATCACACCTAATAAGCACCCATCATTACGTAAACATGTTAATATCTAAGTAGAGTTTGTTGAAGTAAAGAAGGGATAATTGGAAACAAATGAATGAAAAGAAAAGTTTAAAAAGAATAATTAAACTAGGCTGTAGCCTAGCCTACTAATCTGTAGTAGTTCTTGTTATACTTCTATTCAATCTACTTTTTACCTACTAAATATATCATTTTAGCTTGATCACGTATATTATGAACTTGGATATTATTTACTGATAACCTTGAGTGTTCTTTATATATGAGTATGTGTACATGTGTCTATTCGTTTCGCTTACCTGTACTTTACACGCGGTCTACATAATGTGACGTTAGTTTAGATCTATGAGGAGGCGGCATCGCCTATCTGGATGCGGGTCAAATGACTGGGTAATTGAATGCCTGAACTATTTTTACTCAGAAATATGTTTCTTATTTAATTTTTATTATCTACTTTGTGTTAACGTGGTCAATTGGTAGAATCTATACGAAGTTAATAGAATCTATATTTCGTTAGCATCATTTATCATGGAATCAACTCAGTGACTCGAACTTTACTATGCAAACATTAACAACAGACGCTCTATGCTAATTGATATTATATCAGATATTGAGCTTTTTGGATTTTGCGATGGATGTCTTTTATCACTGTAGCCCTCGAAGGAGAATGTGGTAGACAACATTACGTAATTTGTTGTTTGATTATGTTTTTAGTGTTATGTTGTCGAAAATGTTGTTGAACAAACCGTGATAATTTTCTAGCCGATTCTTTTTGATAATGACGAACGTATCGTCCATACAGAGTATCCGAACTTTTGGTTTGACCATTGGTAAGTGTTAATTTTGCATACGTATCCTATTCGATGATCTTTTGTGGTGTATTATACTACTGAATAATGTTCAGTAACTAGTTCAATTTTACGTCATTTTCAAGGCATAATATACCACGCTTTTTTCTTGTTGTGTAACAACTCCTTAAGTATTTACAGGAATTTGTCATACAATATACATATAATTGTAATTGTGACTTACCAAGTTTCGTGCATTTATTGACACTTTGTTTACATGCAACAGTTCCCATATTGTGAGCTAGTAAGCTATCGTTTCGATTGTTGACATTCATTGTTAACTTTAGATACAGCAACTAGCTGTCATTCGTATTATCGTATGTTGTAAACGATCTTTAAGTGACTAATTTATGGGTATTTTTCCTTCCTAGGCACACTGATGTATTAAACTTCACGGATACCCCATAAATTAAAGTTTGAAACTATTTTGCATTTATTTTTCGCTTCCTAAACGAAATCTTGATGATAGACTATGATTTTCTGAACGCTACCATGTAGCGTGATCAGACGCTCAAATAGATTTAATAATATCAAACTCTGATCAAGAATTTGTTCAATGATCTCCAATTCTCAATAGTACCTCAAATAAGACCAATATTCATGAAGAATACTATCTGTGAAACAAACCAATCTCTACAAAACCCCTTCAAACAATCAACTAATGTTATAAACTGGTTTTTATGAATTGGCAAAAGTAAAATGTTCAATATCACTGGTAATAAATATAAGTGTATTGATGAAAAGAGAAGAATGAACATAAAAACAAAATATATAATTCATTTTAAAATATTTA